ATGATAGTCCTTCATTCCTGGCCATCAGATTTGGCCTGAAGGCCATCTGGCACGTTGAGATTGCAAGCGTATGGTAGGCCATAGTTGATGAACTGTACCTGAACAAGTGAAATAAAATAATAACAAGCATTTTGGGGGACCTGGGATTCAAACCCAGGTCCCATTGGTTTTTCCACTCACGCCTCCACCAACTGAGCTATGATGCTTTCTTGTTAATAAAATACACGCTGATTATTATATGTGAAAAGCAAGCAAATTACTGGAAATAAAAAAAACGCGCGGAATTTATTTAAACAGGCCAATGAAGACGAGCCACGTCTTCATCTTCTTCAACAAAACCTGTATTTTTTCCTGCGGGTTTGATTTCGCATCAAAATCCATGGCTCGATTCTAGAATGAATTCCAGGCCACATAAACACAAACTAAGACCATCACTGTGTTCGTCTCTCTTCCCTGAATACAACCATGGCCATTATTTGTCTTGATATTGCCTGTGTCAAAAATGCCTAAAAAACAAGAACACAAACCCTAGCTTCGGATACAGGGTTATAAGCCATGAAAACAAAATTAAATAATGCAGAAATGCTCTAAATGAATCGATTAACATGATAGTCTCAAGATTTTGGCAAAAAGATGCAAGATTCAGAGGTTATGTTCTCGTGTACAGAGCCATGTTCATGGGGACTTACAGTGCAATTGGGGATGTCTCAGGGCTTGATTCTGATTGCTTTAGCTCCAGTGGACGTCAGGCAAGAAGGCTATGTGGAGATTTTGCTTTGAGAACGCCTCCAATATGGATTTCGATCTCCAATTTTTTCAAGCTTTTTTCAATTTTGGTTTTGCAGTTTCTGTCACTTTTAGGTCGTGTCCTCGATGCCTTTAGCTTGTGTGTGTATAAGGGATTGTAATTAGGTTAAACTTTGGGCTTGAATCCATGTGCATTGAAGATTTAAGATATGATTTTATTTCCATTAACAAAGCTTCCATATTTGTGCCAAATCAAATATTTTGTTCACAAAATAGCATGGCACGAATTTGATAGGGTGTATCATGTTAATTGAAAGCTGTAATGATCAAAAAGATCTTATTCCATCAATTTTTGGATTTTATTTGAATTAATATTGATTTAAAATGAATTAATTCAATAAAAATTAAATAAAATAGAAAAATTAATGAATGGACATGAAACTTAAGATAGGACACGTGTGTGGTGTGACAAGATCAAATCAAGTGGAAAAAAGTGGGCCCTTTTGACAAAAATTGAAGTTTTGGGGATAGTTGACTTTTGGCAATTTTGGAAAAATGCCCAACTTCAACAATGCATAACTTCTTCAATTTGGAACTTTTGGAGGTGTTCTTAGACTTTTTAGAAGCCTTGAGATGTCCTCTAACCAACCCTTTTGGTCGTATCTCATTTTGATATTCCATGCTCAAGTTATAAGCTTTAGCAAAAAAGGTGATTTTGTTGACTTTCAAAAATGACCTATAATGTCCAAATTCATAACTTCTTGTGAGTGAATTTCTTGATCTTGGAGTGTGAAGATGGATTGTGGGAAATTGAATCCTCTTCAAAATGAGCTTTGGATGGTTCATTTCTCATAAATTATGAGAAAGTTATGCTTGGTCAAAGTTGAGTTGACTTTTCCTACAAAGCCCTAATTTAGCAACTTTTGAATCTTGATGAATCTTGAGCAATCCTTGATGAATCATGATCAACCCTTGATCAAATGATGAGTCATACTTCAAATTAGAATGTTGACAAAAAATATTGAGGTTTGACTATTTGTAGGTCACAGTTGACCTTTGCCCTAGCACAGTCGATTTTTAGACCTCTTGAGCAATTGACTGACCAAACTTCCTCTGCAAGGCTTGAAATTTGACATGGATGACCTTGAGAACATATTAGGAAATCGGGAAGAATTTGAGGCCATTTGGATGAAAGGACCTTGGTGCAACACAAAACCCTAATTTTGAATTGACTGCCTTAGGAGGTGATTTGACTGTCCAACTCTTGAGCTATTTTGAGCAACTTGGAGATTATTCTTGACATGTCTTAAGAAATATGGGAGGGAAAATTTTGGGGTAAAACAGTGGCGACTCTAATTTAAAAACCAGTCGCGACACAAGTCACTGATAATACATGTGAAGAAATATTCCCTCCCCACTCACGGGTAAAGACTAGGTTAGAGTGAGGCAATGGTAACTCAAAATCACGGGTTCGCTTGAGAATACTATCATCATACACCTGTGTGATAATGATAGCACCTTATTTAAACCTCATATGAGCATGGACGACATAGCCGTCTAGGGTAATCTACATCCCCTATCCATCGTTTTCCACTTTATCCTAGTGTTCCTATTATTTGTCACTTGGCCTGGGTATTTAGCCTTTTACCTCATAGTAACACCCACCTAACACGGAAAACCAGAAGCCAGCATAACAAATAACCAATATTGAAAGCAATAAAATGCAATGCAAACATATGCTCAGATAATCATGTACAAATGAATAAACTGAAAGCATAAAAATAAACACCCAAAGAAAAGACAACAAGAGCTAGGAGCGACTCCGGGATGGACCATCAATTGGTCGACCTGTCCCCAGTGAAGTTGCCAGCTGAAAAAACTGGATGAAAATCATCAAACAATGAAGTCGCCATCAAACGCCTTTTATCCCACATGGAAGGAAAGGTAAACATCGAGAAAACCTGAGAAGGGAAAAATAACGGTCTTACGACCGAGAGATCGGGTAAGCTAGTCTGTTACACGAGGGGAAGGTATTATCATCCCACACGCCCGTAGTACTCTATGGTATCCACTCTTGTTATCTATCTTATGGATGTGTTTAATCTATGCTTACTGTACTACTGAGGAAGAATGCATGCAAAAGAAATGAGAAAATAATGTAGGGAAAATAAAGTTGTGCTTGCTTGGGCCCTACCCCAATGCATACGTATCCTTTTTGAGGAATCAGAGTTACTGTAGTTAGGCTTACATGTTTTATTTGTTTTGTGTCTCTAATAAACAATGTTGATTCCACCTTCTGACACAGCTTGACCTTTGGAGACTCACGCGTTGGCACATAAGTAAATTAACATGTCCTTACCTGAAAAGGGTTTTTAAAGAAAAGGTGTTTGGGCGCACAAAAAGGTTTTAGTTGGTTTGTATTTTGTAACCTTGAAAAAAGGTTTAAGTATGATTAGCATGTTTTATGGTTTGCGAAAAAAGAAAGCTTTCATTTTAAATTGGAAGATGCAAAAGAAAGAAAGCAACTAAGGGAGACTAGCCTAACACTACCCCTACTATTATCATGTAACAATGGACCTACGTCAAAGATGAAAGGGAAATCTCTACCTAATGTTAGCATGCATGGTTACAACCTAAGGTCTAACTTGCATTTGAAAGGAACAAGTACATCCTAAGGGAACATGGTACATACAAGGATAAGAAAACAAGCTCAAAAGAGCACACACGTGAAATGGTAAGGAAAAGAAGCGAGATTCCTTAGCCAAGGGGAGCATATCACCTGAGACAAATAAGCGGGGGTAGGATGTAAAACAAAATTGTGATGTCCAAAGCGACTGGACACCTAACCAAGATATAGGAGATCAAGGTAGGCGACATAAGGAAATATGAATGATCATGCAGTATCAACATCAGCCAATGCAAACTCCTGACAAAGGGTAAGGGTTCAATTGTGGAACCCTTTCCCACTTGACGACTCGATAACAAGAGCAGACACAACTCCGAAGCATCATGGTGCATCACGAGCTAAGGATGACACAGACGAAATGGCGGGGGTTGACTGCGAACCCTCGTTACTTTCCTCTTTTTGAGGACTTATCATATGTAACATATGTGGGCAAAAATATAAACACACGTGAGGAATACCTACTTCAAAGGTAGGATTTTAAACAAACACATATAGCACACAGAAAGCACACAATATAGAATTTCCCTAAACGAGTCTTTAAATAAACCAGAGGGATTCCTGACATGATCAACAACAGACATCTCTGTCATACATATCTACCCTACTTCTCATGGCATCAGAAAGCAGTAAAGCCCTACTTCTCATGATCTCTAGAAAAGTGGTAAAGTGCCGAAATGAGGAATAAAAGTGAAGCCACGATTATACCTAACGGAGAAGGTTCGTTGCCTCTTCAAAACCATGCAAGCAATAAGAAAACTCTACAGAAGTTGCTTCACACGAGTGATCAGAGAATTAATCTCCAAGCATTCCACATTGCAAAAGTTACATTGACACTCTATCACAAAATATTGGCTAAAAATGGAAACAAAAATGATTACCGAACATGAAAATAAAAGAAAACTCTAATTAAAATTATAAAGAGAGGTTCTAAAGAATTCTAAAATGGTCTAATATTTTTTTATCATTTTTATTATCAATTAAGAAAACAAAATTAAACTATAATAAAACTGAAAATAAAAAAAAAGTTAGAAGAGTCAGGGGGTGCAAACTGCAGATAGTGGTACTGTGTAGTAAGCAAATCATGGGTGCTAGGCTCTACTGCAAGGTCCAATACACAGTCTTTTTGTTTCCTAAGCTTAAATGCATAATAAAAGTGTGGACTTAGGGGAGTTTGGCCCGGTCCATCACCTTAGCCCAATACAATTATGTTCAGCACATTCCTTTTTTTATTGGCATGTTTTGTAAAGACGATAAACCAAAGAAAGAGTAGAGTGAACAACAACAAATACAAAATGTAAGCATTTGGCTAGGGTTCAATGGACTTTTCTTCTTCTTCTCTAAAATACGATTAAATCCTTCTCTCATTCTAACAACGACGCAATTATTCTACTCTCTCCTTTGTTCATACATCAACCTCCGATGTCGAAGCTTCGGTCGCCTCTGTCATCGATGCTACTGTTTCGTTCTTCTTCAGTCTCTTGCTGCCACAGTCATCATCCCCTTTGACCTTGATCTCCTCCTCTGTCGACATTCCCTTTGACTTAGCTCTGCTTCAAATCGCAGTATCATGCATCTTCTTCACCGAGTCAGCATGTTCATTGTGATCCGATGCTCAATTCACCCTTCCTCTTTGTCCCGGATTTGCTTAAGCATAAAAGAAGAAGATTATTCTGGTAATCATTCTTATGTTCTCTTTAGTTGCGCTACGGATTCTTTCCTCCTTTTTCGTTTCTCTGCGAGTTTCGTGTTGTGATATTCTCTATGATTTGCAAACTGTGAAGTTGTTGGAGTTGTGCGCGAATCTGATTCAGCATTGTTGTTGCTTGATTGCAGACGCGTTGAGGAAGATGATAAAGAAAAGCGGAGTTGTTGGTGATGATAGAAGTTATTGTAATGATGAAAGTTGAAGAATGTTGGTTTGAATCTGCTGAATAAATTGAAGCTTCGTGAAGAAGATGATGTGCAGAGGAAATTTTGGAGTCTCTGAGAACTTTGTGGATGGTGATTCTTCTGGGAATAATCAGTGTGAATAATTGTGTCTTAGTAATGATGAAGAAAAAGAGAGTGAGCAGAAAATTTTTCTTGGTGATTTCTCTGTATTTACTGCTTTCTTTATGAACTCTTTTCTAGAGCGAATGAATCCCCTTCCCTTTTCCTTATGAATTCTGTTACATAGATTGTTAAGGTGTGAAAAGTTCAGTTAGGGACAATTGAATCTGAGTCGTTAATTTGAAATTATGTTAGAGAAATCAAGAGTTGGATTTGGAGTTTTAGAGTTAGTTGGACTTGGTTAAAACTATTATCTGTGAAACTGAAATTCTGTTAAACTATTAATGGTTGGGAAGTTGTTTAGAAAGTTTTGTTAGGGGTTATAAAGTTAGTTACAAATTTGTTAGCTATAAGAAAGTCTGTTTTGAAGTTGTTATGAAACAATTAGGAATCTGTTATTAAAGTTAAGAGATGAGCTGGAAAAATTAGTTAGTTGGAGGTAAATAGAAATCAGTTAGTTGTTAGGTTTTTCTGTTAATTAGTCTGAACTGTTATTTGTTTCAGATTTTCTCTGTCATAATTCTTTTCTTCTAATTTGTGTAGAATCTTGGAACATGCCGTGGAGACACAGTAGTGGTATTAGTGTGAACTGATCTTTTTGTTTGTTGTGCAGGGCTGTAATTGTTGTAAAGGCAAGCTGATATTAAGCCATGTCCGATTAAAGATGGAAGATGGACAAAAGGCGTTGTGTTCTTTACTTCGAGCATGAGAGAAGAAGCAGGAAGACATATGAAGCAAGGCTGCTACTTGAAACTTGGTTACGACATGGGTTTTGGAGGAAAGAATGAGCTTAGGATTAGGTTCAGGCTAAAGATTTTGTATTGGTTTTTCCTATTTGATGTAAGGTGCCATTTATAATGATATGTAAAGCCTAGTAATGGAATTGTACTATATGGACATGTGATGAAATTTAAATTGTATTTTGGTGTTTGGAATGATGTTTTGATGGGCTTGCAATTATGAAGCAAGGACTTAGGAAAGGGTTGAAGAGTTGATGAAATTTAAGATTTAGACATGTTTAGAATTAGGAATTTTGAATCTCTCTTCTGAGTATTCAGGCTGGCTGAATAAGACGGAGAAGGCGCAAACCCTAGTTTGAAAGGAAATGGGGACTTACGATTTGGTGATGTTGTCGAAGACAGGATTGTCTTATTGTCCTCTTATGTTGGTATCTTCGCTATACTTCTGGGATAGCTCCCACTTCACATTTCGTCTTCCCTGTGGAATGGTAACCCCAACCCTCTTCGACATAGCAGCGATCACTGGTCTTCGACCGACTGGCGATTATTTCGACCCAGAGGATCTATCTGAAGATGTCATTGGGTTTTCAGCTACGAAACCCACACACACCACATTCATCAACCATTTCCATGACAAATCCTCCAACACTGTGTCGGAGGTGGAACATATATCTTTTCTGGCTATGTGGTTATCCCGTTCTATCTTCTTCACCAAGTCGCTTCAAGTGACTAAGAAGATGCTCGCGATGCAGCTTCATCACGGCTACCCCCTCTGTCTGGCTGAATTGATTTTGGCCAATCTATATGAGTCCATCAGCAATGGTGTGACTCAACTCAAGGTCATAGGAGATAGGGCAAGCTTACTTCTTTCTGGCCCTTTCTGGCTTCTTCAACTTTGGCTCAACGCCACCTTCAAATCTTTTCTTCCTCAGAAGAACAAGATCAATGAAGCGGCCCCAGAAATCCTGAACAGGAGGGTCGAAGGTACCAGACTTGCTTTGCTGACTCCGACTGGCGAGGGTCAACAATTTCAAAAGGCCTTCACAAGCTTTATGATGATGTTTGCAGAGCACAAACATTTTTGTTTCGACCATGGCTCCTTTTGCCAGTCGAAAAGTCGGCCCATAATGATTTACTAGACCATTTCCTTCGACTGATGAGGAGGACTTGGAGGACGAATACGTGGGCATCTGGGAGTCGTTTCTTCGACCCAGAATCATGCCACTGAGATTCAAGAGCTCGAAGAATCAATTAAGTTTGATTGCTTACCAACCAAATCTTGTTTCTCGACAATTCGGCATTGTCTAGTCACTCCCATCACCCATCTATTCTCGAGAGAAACTGCTATTATTTTACAATGCAGATTACTCAGAGGATGCTTCTACCAAGCACATTGGTAGGTACGTTGGTCGGACCGTACTAACCATGTTCGACTTCAATCTCAATTTTTTGTGTTCTAGCAATTTTGAAGGGTGGTGGAGGCAACATTATTTTCTTTCCTTTTTCCTCTTTGTTCTTAGATTTAATCATTCGACGCTCGATTTATCTTTGTTTCTTGTATAGCTGTCAAGAGGACCAGCACAAAGAAGGCTGTTGAAAGCACCAAAAGGGGAGACCCTTATGTTAATCCTTCGCCAAAGGTATTTACTTTCTGTTTTACCTTTCTCCTTTTCTATTTTCTGATACAGATGTTGATATCTTTGACTCTTATCTTTCTGGATGTTCAGAAAACCACTCCCAAGAAAAGGAAGGTTCAGGAAATAGAAATCTCTAGTGATGAAGAAGAGGAGTCTCCTCATGTTCCTCTGAAGAGACAAAAATTAAAGAAAGCAGTTCCCGCACCTGAGCCTCATCCCAAAAAAAAAATTAAAATTACAGCTACGAAATCAAGGCTTCCTCCTGTAGTTATCAGAGATCCTACTGAGCAAGAAGTAGCTGCCAGGATAAATAATCCCAGTGAGAGCGACAATTCCAGCCCTGGTGCCGAAGTTCCAATTCAGGTATTTGCTTCGACAACCAATCGCTTACTTATTGAACTAACCCTTTTCTCTATAAACATTCTGAGAATAAAAACTTCTTTTAATCTTAAGGACACTCCCGGCACCTCTAAACAAGTTCCTACTCCTGTTGAAGGATCCGCCACTCTATTAAATAGTGAGGGAGATCCCACTTATAGGCCTTCTTCAGCAAAATTCTCTTTTGTGAGCTTAGCTGATGAGGTGAACCAAGTTTCTGAACCTCAGTATGAGACCATAGAGGAAGTCAATGAAGAAGGCCTTATAGGAGACCATGAAGAAAATAGGGCTCCACTAGTTGACGTACAGGAAGTCGAAGAAGAGGAGGAGGCCACTGATGTCGTAGCTGTAACAGAAAGGGAAAATATGATGGAGGGGGAAAATCAGGATGAAAGAATTCTAGATGCTGATGGCATAGAAGGCTTTACCGAAGGGGCCCAAAATCTGAAGAACGCTGAAAATGCCCATAATCCCACACAGGTGGTTAATGTGGCTACTGCCACTAATGAGGATGCCCCTTCGATAGGGTCTCGAACCAAAGAAGCTTTGGCCTTGATGAAACAACAAAATCCTCTGAGCTACTTGACTGCCATTCTCGAAGGGCGAGAAAGTTCTTCTGACCACAGTGTCTCGACTGCATCCAGAAAGTCTACTTCGACCTCTCCTCTTGATGAGGCACTTCAGAAGGTTAAAGCACAAATTTTCAAAAGAGACTTAATGCTAACCTTGGAGGGAGAACCTACTGCTCTTTCCTTTCTGAAGACCACTTTGAGGGATGTTGATCTCCTCATTGCTTCTCCAGATGTAGCCAACGTCATTCTGGATTTAACTTCCATTATTGACCAAGTGTCAGCGGACTACAACCGTCGAAGGACTCTTGTTCACGAGATCGAAGAGGCCAACAACCATGTAGCTGCTGCTTGGCATGCTGCCACTGAATCAGCTTCCAAAGTAAAAGATCTGTCGAAGGCTCAAGAAGCTATGCAAAAAGAGGCTGAGGAGATCGATCAAGACACGGCTAAAATGAAGGCGCAGATCAAAGAATTAGAGGCTAAAATTGCCGCCAATGATAAAAGGAAGGAAGAACTTCTTGCTACTGATACTGAGTCTGAAATCCAAGAGGAACTTGCTGAAGGGTTGAAGCATGCTGATCGAGCCCAAATGCTTGATGCTAAACTTGAAACCCTTCATCAGTCGAAGGCTCTTTGCAAATGGTGTCTGGAATTGCAGAGGATTAAATACCTCCAGATCAAGGCCAATCTCCCCTTTTGAATCCTATTTCTATATTTGTATAATCACTCATTGTAATGACGTTAAGGCCATTTTGGCTATTTTTAATGAAATTTAAATTTAAATTTTGGCATTTTCTTTATTCGACTGTGACTATACATCGGCTATTTTAACCTCTTGAAGTATAGGTCTATACCTTTTCAAGTATTTACCATTTACTCTCAGAAGTCTTTGATCTTCATTTAACTCCTCGATCTCATAGGCTCCACCAGAGAAAGTTTGAATAATTTTGAAAGGTCCTTCCCACTTAGGGGACCATTTTCCCATAGTTCTATCTTTTCGATCCATTGGAAGAATTACCTTCCATACTAAATCTTCAGGAAAAAATGCCTTAGGCTTTACTTTTCGATTATAGGATTTCTCGACCCGTTTCTTTTGTAATCGTAAGAGGTCTAAAGCTTTCAATCTTTCCTCATCTAAATCCACCAATTTGTCTAACATCATATTCCAATAAACTTTAGAAGGAATATCCTGATGTTTTTGAACCCTCGTTGACTGTAGACAAATTTCTACTGGAAATACTGCATCATGACCATAAGTTAGGCGAAATGGTGTTGTTCCTGTAGCCTCTTTAGGCGAGTTTCGACAAGCCCATAGAACTTGATCCGACGTCTTATGCCAATTTCTTGGTTTCTTTCCCACGTGTTTCTTTATTAAACTGATTACTACCTTGTTTGCTGCTTCGAGTTGGCCGTTAGCTTGTGCATAATAAGGTGTAGATGTTAACAGTTTGAATCCCATTTCCGTAGCAAATTCTTTCAATTTGTGACCAGTAAAGACTGATCCTTGACCTGTCGTTATTGTCTCAGGGGTTCCAAATCTATATATAATGTACTTTTGAATAAATTCAATGACATTTTCTTGGTCTACATTGACTAAAGGAATTGCTTCGATCCATTTAGTCAAATAATCAATGCCCACCAATATGTATTTCTAGCTTTTAGAGGATGCTGGTCGAATCTCTCCAATAAGATCTAAAGCCCAACCTCTAAAAGGCCAAGGTTTCACAATCGAATGAAGTTTGCTTGTCGATACATGCTGGATGCCTGTGTGCACTTTCCATTCTTGACATCCTTTTGCAAACTCAATACAATCTTCCAACATAGTTGGCCAATATAGTCCTTGTCGAAACAACAACCATTTCATCTTCTGGCCTACTTGATGTGCTCCACATGCCCCGGAGTGTGTAGTTGAAAGAGCTATGTATGCTTCTGTTTCGCTTAGACATTTCAGCAGCACACCCTCAGGTGTCTTCTTGAACAATTCATTTCCCATTAGTATATAGCTTAGTGCCCTATACTTTATCTTTCGCTCTGTCGAAGCCACTGGATTTTATAAATGATCCACTTTAGGCTTTCTCCAATCTTGTTCTGTTAGATTGTCTATGAACGAAATCTCAAAGTTTTCGTGATCAATGCATCCCAATGTTGTTGTTTCCAAATCTATTGGAGACAACTTAGTGGATGCTACTCTTCCTCTAACTTCAATTGCTTGTCGTAGTTTTTCTTTCGAAACTTTATACCTGGAAGCGATCTGTGCTAAATCATTAGCCACTTGATTTTCCAATCTGGGTATATGACGAATGTTAACCACTTCGAAGTTCTTCAACAAATGCCTAGTTATTACGAAATACATGATAAGATTTTCTCTTATGCACTTGTATTCTTTCGTAACTTGTTTTAGGACTAACTCTGAGTCTCCCATTATTTCGACTCGAGTTTCCCCTAATTCCAACAAGATTTCATGGCCTACGATTAAAGCTTCATATTCAGCCTCATTATTTGAACAATCTCCTTCGATCTTGTACTTAAAT